CCAATGATCACATTACAACAATCACAACAAACCCAACAAACCCAATGATCACTACCCAACAATCACAACAAACCCAACAAACTCAATGTTCACAACAATCACAACAAACCCAACGAACCCAATGATCACATTACAACAATCACAACAAACCCAACAAACCCAATGATCACTACCCAACAATCACAACAAACCCAATGATCACAACAAACCCAACAATCACTTCACAACAATCACAACATTATGCTCAAAAAGTGAAGAAATGGATTATAACTCTGCATAAATATAATTTAGTACCATAAAATCCCTTAAAAATACAAAATATTACATAAAACATTATCAAACTAAAATATAGTACATTCATGTCACTGAAAAAAAAAAATGAAGAGCACCAGAGTTAAACAGAGACTATAGATACTATGTCTCTTTTTTCACCAGTAAATAAACTATTCAGTGGTTTTCTTTATTTCCCAAAGGCAAACTTTCTACGAATTTCCAGCTAACAAAAATATGTTCTAAAAACAGTAACACTTTAGAATACGGTTCCTTAATTAATGAATAACTACACAGGAACAAATGAGTAACACAATATTAACAATTTAGTAACTACTATTAACTAACAAGAAATTCTGATTAACAAATTAGTAAGTAACAGCGCACAGATGAAAGTGGTAGTTCACTATTAACTAATTGATAACTACTTTTTTTAAATGCTTCCCAGAGAACTACTGTAAGAATCATGGTAACTAACTAGTAATGACTCAAGTGTTACTACATACTTCTAAAGGAATGACTAATTATTTGGATCCGTATTCTAAAGTGAAGATCACGGTAACTAACTAGTAATTACTCAAGTGTTACTACATACTTCTAAAGGAATTACTAATTCTTTTTAAGCTTTTGAGGTTTTTGGTGAAGTTTTAGATAGTAATTCCCATAGAAGTATGTAGTAACACTTGAGTAATTACTAGTTAGTTACCATGATCTTCACTTTAGAATACGGATCCAAATAATTAGTCATTCCTTTAGAAGTATGTAGTAACACTTGAGTCATTACTAGTTAGTTATCATGATTCTTACATGAAAAGCCAATCCTAAAGTGTAGAATCTTCTAATCCTTCACAAGATATTTGCACACACGTATGAGGTAGGAGACATTAATAAAATCTTTTTTTTTTTTTTTTTGCTAGGTATAGGTTAAATAATAAAATCACTGTATATGGTATTTGGATGGCTGATAACTCAATATGTTCCAGCCGTCACCGTGACTCTGGCCAATTTTCTGGCATTCCTCTGGACTGGCATTGAATCACTACAGGACAAGTAAGGTCCCGACAACTGCATTTAAAAAGCCATTTCTTTCTAATTATTCAGTTGATAAATAGTTCTCTAGGAGAGAGCATAGGCTAATTATTTCCCAAATCATAAGTCTGCTATGCTATTACATATTGATAAACCTTGTGTATTTGTTTACAGCAGTTATTAATGTTAATGTAGTGCTAGTCATTTGTCCTGCATTAGTTATTGATTAGTTTTGCATGAACTATTAATCTTCTTCAGTAGTTCTCTGGGAAGCATAAAAAAAAGTAGTTATCAATTAGTTAATAGTGAACTACCACTTTCATCTGTGCGCTGTTACTTACTAATTCGTTAATCAGAATTTCTTGTTAGTTAATAGTAGTTACTAGATTGTTATATTGTGTTACTCATTTGTTCCTGTGTAGTTATTCATTAACGAAGGAACCGTATTCTAAAGTGTTACCCTAAAAACATTTTGCTAACGTTCCCATTAAGTCATGAAATCTTTATTTCTAAATGTTCAGAACGTCAAGTTTGTACAAATGTTTTAAAAGCGGGTTTGGTTATATGTAGGCCTATCATTCTTCACACATTATGCGAACATTACTTTTGTATGTTCTCTAAACGTTCTGAAACAAGTAGTAACTTTTAAAAATGTTAGACGAACGTCGTCCAACAAAAACATTTTTTAAATTTTTATTTTATTTATTTATCTATTTATTTATTGCTGGTGTTGAGGAGTGCGCATGCGCAGCCGAGCTTGGCCAGCGCGAGCCAGCAGAAGATGAAGGCGGGCTCGTTCATCATGAATAGAAGCGGTGTCTCCGGGCGTCAGACCCGACGCGCCGCGCAACGCGTTCGCTATTCGGTTGCTCTCTCTGTCTGCGTCTTTAAACGAGTACATTTCCTTCTCGAACACAATGAACGGCTTGTTCGGCCGCGTTTCGACCTGTTCTAAAACTCAGACCAAAGCGAAAAACAAAGGTCGCCTTCTTCTGCGAGACACGAATTTGAGTAAAATCCGCACCAGTTCTGTGTGATAAACAAAGTCTGCCCAGAAATACGGGAAAAGCAGCCTGAGACACAGAGGACAGAGGACCAGTCCGCACAACAGCACAGAAACAAGGAACATTTTTGATGTGAAAATGCGAGAGTTTCTCAAACACAATCCGACCCGAAGACTGAAGCAGATTCTGCTGAAGGCGGAGCGACGGGAGATTACCAACAGTTTAAAGTTTCCCTCAGAGCCTCTAAACACGAGGATCAGAAATGTGTTACAGAAACATTATATCCTAGGAAACATCGAAATTTCACTTAGGAAAAACAACTTTTTTTTCAAAGTTCAATAATTAAGTTTGTGGAGTATTAACAGCTCTGGTTCCAATTTTGATTCCTTTTGTGATCCTAAAGTCATTTTGCAAAATGATTTCATAATTTCTGAATACTCAAACCACAGCAAAATGTCTGGATCCGTTAAAGTAAAACATCTGATCTGAAGTCAGTGCTTTAGTGTGCTGATACCGGTGTGTTCACACTGATCTGAACCGGACAAGCGGACCGAGACCCAGATTGTGAACATATCCTTATGGCTTTAGGTCCGGTGTTAAAATGCCAGTGTGAACGCTAGGCGGACCAGGACTAAATGTTGTTTTTCTGGTCCGGACCAAACGAACCAGTCCAACACACTTAACCTCTGCTGCTCTTCGCATGTCGGTCAAAAATGACAGAATTGTAATTTTCATTTCAATGAAATGAAAGTACTAGCTATATTTTAGTGCGATAATGTTTTACTTTTTTATTAAAAAAAAATATTTTTAGGGGATTTTTTATACTAAATTATATTTACGCTGTATTTATAATCCATTTATTCACTTTTTGAGCATAGACCTGAAAATTACATTTCCAGCTTAAACTGGTAAATCTTGAACGCTTTAGAGCGACAGACTGAAGTTTGGTCTCTTCTCAAAGACGACACTCGGCAGATTATTGCTGAAGTGAAAACAGTTTTAAAAAGTGAACTTAAAAAAAGTTACAGAATTTTACGTGTATTGTTATGAAAAATGCACAAAAATACTATTTTAAATTTTTATATGAAATATATATTTTCAAAAATATGTTTTCATCTAAAACTGTGATAAAATCAAAGCCATAGATCTAAACAAGTTTGAGCCTGATATCTCATGAAATGAGCGTTCAGTGAGATGTTGTTCGGCTGCAGTACCTAACGCCTCCACTAGAGACTCGTTCATTTCCAATGCGTCATTTCTGACCGCGAGGAGCACAAGTGTGACTGTCTGTTTCAGGACCATTTGTGTGTGTGTGTGTGTTCACATAACAAGTGCCTAAACCTTTACCAAGTTTTGTACCATTCCGATGAAGAAAAATTAGAATATATATTCCAAATGTAATTTTTTTCAGTCAAAAACGACTGAGGAGCACCAGAGGGCACTGTTTCCGTCATGAGCAGATCCGGAGTCCTGGTCCAGTGCCAGATCAGCGGTTGCATCATTCCCAGATCTCCGCTATCAGTTCCTCGAGCTCCTGATAGCAGCGGTGAGAAATCAAACTCAACGACCTCTCGCTAGCAAAACACTGGCTGACTCTCATTCAGCAAATAATTGTGACATGTCGCTCCCACACGCTCTCAGACGTATCCACAGAGGCCCGGTTCCCAGCATGCACTGCGGTAATGAGAATCGTGCGTTTGGAACGGACTGATCGTGACTTCTCAAGGTTACAGTGATAGCAGAGAGAAGAAGGAGCCGGACTGAACGTTCTGCACAGTTTTGTTTATATAAAGCACTTTTGGAAAACGTCTGACCTCGATCTCTAGAGTTATCAAACACATAGAGTGACAGGCACACGTCCCACTCCACCGACTCAGGGGAAACCTGCTGCTTTCCTGATGGATTATGCAAATAATACTAACCTAGTAGAATTGGCAAAGTCCAATATTTCAATAAAACGAGCAGTAAATCAGTGGAGCACTGTAAAAAAATTATCGTGATTTTAACGGTAAAAGACTGTAAAAATGCTACAGTGCAAAACTGTTAATTGGTTAACAGAAAGTTTTCTTACTATATACGGTAAATAACTGTGATAGATCTAATGGTACATTTAATGTAATTTTACTGTAAAATACTGTTAAATTTACAGTTTTTGAAAGTGAAAAAGAACAAATCGTATAATTTACAGTGAAAAAACGTAAATTGACATGGGTTCTCCCAAGGTTTTTTCCTCCATTCTGTCCCTGATGGAGTTTTGGTTCCTTGCCACCGTTGCCTTGGCTTTTGGCTGCTTAGTTGGGGACATTTAACATTCAATAATATTATTGATCTGCCTTACTTCAGGTGGACGTTGATGCAATTTTCTTCTAGAAACAAACTTTGTTATATTATTTTCATGTTATGATACAATCTGTGTTGTAAAAAGCGCTATATAAATAAAGCTGACTTGACTTGACACACACACTCACACACACACACACACACACTCACACACTCTCTCACACTCTCTCTCACACACACACACACACACACACACACACACACACACACACACACACACACACACACACACACACACTCTCACTCACTCTCTCTCTTTCATGTCACGAATATCTCTTGCTATAAAAGCGCGTCCCCTCTCTTACTTTCCCGGATCAGAAGTGCTGCATGTGTGAGAGTTTCAGTCCAGAACCAGAAGCAGAAGCAGAAGCAGAACCAGAACCAGAACCAGAACCAGAAGCAGAACCAGAAGCAGGAGAACATGCTGCGGGTCCGGTGCCTGAGTGGAGGGAGCCGAGGAGCAGAAGCTGCACATCTCATCGGGGATATGGTGAATATATTACATTATTATAGAGACTGAGAACTGGATCACAGTCAGAACCAGAACCAGCTGCTCACACACACACACACACACACACACACACACACACACACACACACACACACACACACACACACACACACACACACACACACACACACACACACACACAGAGAGAAAGGAACCTTCCAGTGTACGCATACAGAAACAAGACACTTAATTATACAGTTAAAGAATAAAATATGAAAAAGGTGAAGTCAGAACAGACACATTTACAGATTATGGCATTTGTATGTATTGCATACATTTTTTTTTAAACCCACAGATTACACAAGGCAAGGCAAGGCAAGTTTATTTATATAGCACATTTCATACACAATGGTAATTCAAAGTGCTTTACATAGAAGAAATTAAAATAATCAAAACAAATAAGAATAATTAAAACAGTTTAGAATAAAAAATAAAATACAGTACAAACAGTCGGACACAGTGGCACAGTGCTCATTCAGTAAATGCACAGCTAAACAGAAGTGTTTTGAGTCTGGATTTGAATGTGACTACTGTAGGGGCACATCTGATCTCCTCTGGAAGCTGGTTCCAGCTGCGGCTGGCATAATAGCTAAAAGCAGACTCTCCATGCTTAGAGTGAACCCTTGGTATTTCTAGCTGATGTGATCCTAATGATCTGAGTGATCTGTTGGGTTTATATTCAGTGAGCATATCTGCAATATATTGAGGTCCTAGGCCATTAAATTATTTATATACCAGTAATAATACTTTAAAGTCAATCCTAAATGTAACTGGGAGCCAGTGTAGAGACCTGAGGACTGGTGTGATGTGTTCATGTTTTCTGGTTCTGCTAAGCGTTCTGTATGAGCTGCAACTGTCTTATGGTCTTTTTAGGAAGGCCAGTGAGGAGTCCATTACAATAATCCACCCTGCTGGTGATGAAAGCATGCACACGTTTCTCTAAGTCTTGACTGGAAACACAGCATCTAATTCTTGCAATATTTTTCAGATGATAGTATGCTGATTTAGTTATTGCTTTGACATGACTACTGAAACTAAGATCTGACTCTAGAGACACACCAAGATTCCTGACTTGATTTTTAGTTGTTAGACCCCTAGCGTCAAGGTATGCATTCACCTTGAGAACTTCATCTTTGTTTCCAAACGCAATGACTTCAGTTTTGTCTTTGTTTAACTGAAGAAAGTCTTGGCACATCCAACTGTTGACTTCATCAATGCATTGGCACAGGGAGTCAATGGGGCTGTAGTCGTTAGGCGATAGGGCTAACTAGAGCTGTGTGTGTGTGTGTGTGTGTGTGTGTGTGTGTGTGTGTGTGTGTGTGTGTGTGTGTGTGTGTGTGTGTGTAAGTAGAGCTGTGTGTCGTCTGCATAGCTGTGGTAAGAGATTTTGTTCTTTCTCATTATTTGGCTCATTGGGAGCATATACAGGTTGAATAGGAGTGGTGCAAGAATTGAGCCTTGAGGGACTCCGCATGTCATGGATGTCCACTCAGACTTATGGTCTCCTATACTCACATAATAACCTCTCCCTTCTAAGTATGACCTGAACCATTTTAGGACTATCCCAGAAAGCCCCACCCAGTTTTCCAGCCTGTCAAGAAGTATGTCGTGATCGACAGTGTCAAATGCAGCACTGAGGTCGAGTAGTACCAGCACTGATAATTTGCCTTTATCAGTATTTAAGCGAATATCGTTTATTATCTTTATGAGCGCTGTCTCTGTGCTGTGATGCGATCGGAAACCAGATTGAAAATTGTCAAAGAATCCATTAGAGCTTAAGAATTTGTTCAGCTGATTGAAGACAACTTTTTCAATGATCTTGCCTATGAAAGGAAGATTTGAGATCGGTCTATAATTGCTTAAGATGGTCTTATCCAGATTGCTCTTTTTCAGGAGGGGCTTGACAACTGCAGTTTTCAGGGAGTTTGGGAAACTCCCAGAGAGAAGTGAGGCATTTACCACTTCTAGGAGATCTGCTTCTAAGCTGTTTAACACACTTTTGAAGAAAGATGTGGGAAGTGCGTCAAGGGCGCAGGTTGATGTTTTAAGGTGCTGTACGGTTTCTTCCACAGTTTTGCCATCAATTTCTTCGAAATCAGGCATAGTAACTGCTTTCTCAGGTAGTGGTCTGATCTGTCTGACCCCAGAGCAACTCAATGATGTGCTGATCACCTTTCTGATATTCTTAATTTTCTCAGAGAAGAAAGAAGCAAACTCACTGCACTTGCTGTCTGAGAGCAATTCATTGGGAATCTGGCTTGGGGGGTTTGTCAGTCTCTCTACAGTAGCAAAAAGAGTGCGTGTGTTGTTTAAGTTTCTGTTTATAATATTAGAGAAGAAAGTCTGTCTAGCTTTGTCTAGTTCCATATTAAAAGCATGGATGCTGTCTTTGTAGATGTTATAATGGACTACAAGTTTTGTCTTCCGCCACATGCGCTCTGTTTTTCTGTATTGTCTTTTCATATTTTGCACAGCTGTTGAGTTTCTCCAAGGTGCTTTTTGTCTACCACTCTTCCTGACTTTCACAGGAGCAATATCATCTATTACACCTTTAACCTTTGAGTTAAAAGAATCAAGGAGAAAATCAACAGACTCAGCAGATATGCTTGGTTTTAAAGATATGGCCTTCATAAATAGCACACTAGTGTTCTCCTTTAAGCATCTCTTCTTGACAGACACAGATCTAGCTTCAATGGCAGGAGAGATCAATATATCAAAGAAAATACAGAAATGATCAGACAGTGCTACATCCTTAATAACAATCGATGAGATGTTTAGACCCTTACTGATAAGTAAATCTAGAGTGTGTCCACAACAATTATAACGGCTGAGAAGATTAAAAATCCTCTGAAACTGATTGGCTGTGTTAAATCATTAACTCTCGAGTGCAACTGTAATCATTGCAATTAATGTCTCAATAATGTTGCATCGACTCAGAGTGACAGATGATCTGTCCCAGATCACTGTTGTGGGTGATTGACAGCTGGAGGAGTCTCGGACTCGAGGAATTTTACCAGAGTAAAGTCTGTTTCATGCGTTCAGCTTCAGGTCATCAGGACACGTGTCAGTCTCCATTCATGCATCCGTGAATTATAGCCTATAGGCACTTTATAATGATTAGGGTCAAATACATTAACTGATTATGCATGAATCATTGCTCTTTCTCCCTGTCGCCAGTTATAATCTCTGTTGTTGTTGTTGTTTCCCGGTGATGATTGATTGATCTTCTGTTCGTGTGTGTCGCGCGCAGGCGGGTCGCGCGCTCTCGGGATGGGTGTCGCGCGCCGTCCGCAACAGCTCGAGTTCCGCGGCCGCGCATCTCCCGTTGGACGAGCCGGTTCAGGAGTGTCCCGTGAGCGCGTATAACGAGTGGGACCCGCTCGAGGAGGTGATCGTGGGCAGAGCCGAGAACGCATGCGTTCCCCCGTTCACCGTGGAGGTCAAGGTACGAAACTCACCAGGGTCAGAGTTCACATTACTACTGATCTGGGGTGCGTTTCCCGAAAGCATCGTTAGCCAACCATGGTCGCAAGTTGGTCGCAAATCCCATTGAACTCTATTGGTAACGACGGAACTTGCGACCATAGTTGGCAAACGATGCTTTCGGGAAACGCACCCCTGGGCAGGTCTAATGTCTACGTGACGTTTCTCAGGGTTTCCAGTATATTTAAGTTACTGTAACACACCAAAAACAATAAATATACTCGGTAACACTTTACAATAAGGTTCATTAGTTAACATTAGTTAACTACCTTAATTAACATGCACTAAGAATGATCAATACTTCTTTAACATTTATTAATCTTAGTTAATATTAATTTCGACATTTACTAATACGTTATTAAAATCAAAGGTAGTATTTGTTAACATTAACTAACATGAACAAACATGAACAGCTGTATTTTATTAACTAACATTAACAAAGATGAATAAATAGCCTACTGTAACAAATGTATTGCTCATTGTTAGTTCATGTTAGTAAAACATTAACTAATGAACCTTATTGTAAAGTGTTACCGTGTAGAAAGTACTGGGATGTTCAGGTGGAATATCCTCTGGATAATAGTAGCCTACTATATGATATTTTTTTGTTATTCAAAGGTAGCCTACTAAATATTACCGCAGTAAATGTCTAAAGCACAATTTATTGCTGATATCACAGCGGGACATATATAAACAGAACACACTGTGAATGACCTGAACGTGTTCATCACACCACAAACTGGATATTTATTGGTACTCTGTGTGTGTGTGTGTGTGTGTGTGTGTGTGTGTGTGTGTGTGTGTGTGTGTGTGTGTGTGTGTGTGTGTGTGTGCAGACCAACACGTATGATAAATACTGGCCCTTCTACCAGCAACACGGCGGACAGACATTCCCGAAGGACCACGTGAGGAAAGCAGTTGCTGAAATCGAGGAAATGTGCAATATTCTCCGTCACGAGGGAGTCACAGTGAGACGGCCAGAGCCAGTGGACTGGTCCTTAGAGTACAAGACCCCTGACTTCTCCTCCACAGGTGACACGCACACACACGCACACACACACACACACACACCTGAGGAAGGGGTTCTCACACGGACTCGTCTCACACAGGCATGTACGCGGCGATGCCCAGAGATATCCTCATGGTGGTGGGCAACGAGATCATCGAGGCCCCGATGGCCTGGAGGGCCCGCTTCTTCGAGTATACCGGGCGTATCGGCCCCTGATCAAGGAGTACTTCCGGCGCGGAGCAAAGTGGACCACAGCACCCAAACCCACCATGAGCGACGAGCTGTACGATCAGGTGACCTTTAGAGGCGTGGCCACAGATGCTGCTACACTGGAACGACAGCTGCTCACTGTGTGTGTGTGTGTGTGTGCGCAGGATTACCCCATGCGCACCGTGGAGGACAAACACAAGCTGGCGGCTCAGGGGAAGTTCGTCACCACAGAGTTCGAGCCGTGTTTCGACGCTGCGGACTTTATCCGGGCCGGCACTGACATATTTGTACAGAGGAGTCAGGTGACCAAACAACCTCTCCGTCGACGGGTCTGGACCGTCTCTCAGTGTGAAGAACATCTAATCTAAAGCAGGGTTCCAGACTGGAGTCGGACATGGAAAAGCCTAGAGAAAAACTGTAAAAACAATACATAAACAGTATATATATATTGTTTTTACAGTTTTTTTCTAGACCATTCCAAAAAGTTCTTCACACTAAGGAAACAATTGTACATTGTATATGTACATTAATATGTATATATATATATATATATATATGTATTCAAATTATATATATAAAAATTGTAATATTTAAATTAAAATAAATTAGTGCTGTCAAACATATTTAATATAATATTTAATTGCGATTAATCGCATGAATGTCATAGTTAACTCGCGATTAATCGCAATTAATCGCACAAGTTTATCTATTCTAAATGTCTCTTGATTTTTTTTTGTCCCATTATTTTTTCTCATTTTAATGCTCTTATCAACATGGAAAAGTGGATCGGCTTGCTTTGTGCAAATGTTTTTTTTATTGAAACCAACATTGGCATATACTGTGTTCAATTTCACACTAACATTCTCACTTGGAGCAAATAATCTCTCAAACTCTGACACTCTGCCGCTCTGCCACTCTGCTCTCTGCCACTCTGCTCTCTGCCACTCTGCTCTCTGCCACTCTGCTTTCTGCCACTCTGACACTCTGCCACTCTGACACTCTGCCACTCTGCCACTCTGCCACTCTGCTCTCTGCTCTCTGCCACTCTGCCACTCTGCTCTCTGCCACTCTGCTCTCTGCCACTCTGCTCTCTGCCACTCTGCCACTCTGCCACTCTGCCACTCTGCTCTCTGCCACTCTGCCACTCTGACACTCGGCCACTCTGCTCTCTGCCACTCTGCTCTCTGCCACTCTGCTCTCTGCCACTCTGCTCTCTGCCACTCTGCTTTCTGCCACTCTGACACTCTGCCGCTCTGACACTCTGACACTCTGCCACTCTGCCACTCTGCCACTCTGCTCTCTGCTCTCTGCCACTCTGCCACTCTGCCACTCTGCCACTCTGCTCTCTGCCACTCTGACACTCTGCCACTCTGACACTCTGCCACTCTGCCACTCTGCTCTCTGCCACTCTGACACTCTGCCACTCTGCCACTCTGCTCTCTGCCACTCTGCCACTCTGCCACTCTGCTTTCTGCCACTCTGCCACTCTGCTCTCTGCCACTCTGCCACTCTGCTCTCTGCTCTCTGCCACTCTGCCACTCTGCCACTCTGCCACTCTGCTCTCTGCCACTCTGCCACTCTGCTTTCTGCCACTCTGCCACTCTGCTCTCTGCCACTCTGCCACTCTGCTCTCTGCCACTCTGCCGCTCTGCTCTCTGCCACTCTGCTCTGTGCCACTCTGCTCTCTGCCACTCTGCCACTCTGCCGCTCTGCCACTCTGCCACTCTGCCACTCTGCTCTCTGCTCTCTGCCACTCTGCCACTCTGCCACTCTGCTCTCTGCCACTCTGCCACTCTGCCACTCTGCTTTCTGCCACTCTGCCACTCTGCTTTCTGCCACTCTGCCACTCTGCCGCTCTGCTCTCTGCCACTCTGCCACTCTGCTCTCTGCCACTCTGCCACTCTGCTCTCTGCCACTCTGCCGCTCTGCTCTCTGCCACTCTGCCACTCTGCTCTCTGCCACTCTGCTCTCTGCCACTCTGCTTTCTGCCACTCTGACACTCTGACACTCTGCCGCTCTGACACTCTGCCACTCTGCCACTCTGCCACTCTGACACTCTGCCACTCTGCCACTCTGCTCTCTGCCACTCTGCCACTCTGCCACTCTGCTTTCTGCTTTCTGCCACTCTGCCACTCTGCTCTCTGCCACTCTGCCACTCTGCTCTCTGCCACTCTGCCACTCTGCCACTCTGCCACTCTGCTTTCTGCCACTCTGCCACTCTGCCACTCTGCTCTCTGCCACTCTGCTACTCTGCCACTCTGCTTTCTGCCACTCTGCCACTCTGCTCTCTGCACTCTGCCACTCTGCTCTCTGCCACTCTGCTCTCTGCCACTCTGCTCTCTGCCACTCTGACACTCTGCCACTCTGCTCTCTGCCAGTCTGCTCTCTGCACTCTGCCACTCTGCTCTCTGCACTCTGCCACTCTGCTCTCTGCCACTCTGCTCTCTGCCGCTCTGCTCTCTGCCACTCTGCACTCTGCCACTCTGCTCTCTGCCACTCTGCTCTCTGCCACTCTGCTCTCTGCCACTCTGCTCTCTGCCACTCTGCTCTCTGCCGCTCTGCTCTCTGCCACTCTGCCACTCTGCCACTCTGCTCTCTGACACTCTGACACTCTGCCACTCTGCTCTCTGCCAGTCTGCTCTCTGCCACTCTGCTCTCTGCCACTCTGACACTCTGCCACTCTGCTCTCTGCCACTCTGCTCTCTGCCACTCTGCTCTCTGCCAGTCTGCTCTCTGCCACTCTGCTCTCTGCCACTCTGCTCTCTGCCACTCTGCTCTCTGCCACTCTGCTTTCTGCCGCTCTGCTCTCTGCCACTCTGCCACTCTGCCGCTCTGCTCTCTGGCACTCTGCTCTCTGCCACTCGGCCACTCTGCCACTCTGCTCTCTGCCACTCTGCCACTCTGCCACTCTGCCACTCTGCCACTCTGCCACTCTGCTCTCTGACACTCTGACACTCTGCCACTCTGCTCTCTGCCAGTCTGCTCTCTGCCACTCTGCTCTCTGCCACTCTGCCACTCTGCTCTCTGCCACTCTGCTCTCTGCCACTCTGCTCTCTGCCACTCTGCTTTCTGCCGCTCTGCTCTCTGCCACTCTGCCACTCTGCCACTCTGCTCTCTGCCACTCTGCCACTCTGCTCTCTGCCACTCTGCTCTCTGCCACTCTGCTCTCTGCCACTCTGCTCTCTGCCACTCTGCTTTCTGCCACTCTGCTCTCTGCCACTCGGCCACTCTGCTCTCTGCCACTCTGCCACTTTGCTCTCTGCCACTCTGACACTCTGACACTCTGCTCTCTGCCACTCTGCCACTCTGCTCTCTGACACTCTGCCACTCTGCTCTCTGCCACTCTGCTTTCTGCCGCTCTGCTCTCTGCCACTCTGACACTCTGCTTTCTGCCGCTCTGCTATCTGCCACTCTGCCACTCTGCCACTCTACTCTCTGCCACTCTGCCACTCTGCCGCTCTGCTCTCTGCCACTCTGACACTCTGCCGCTCTGCTCTCTGACACTCTGCTCTCTGCCACTCTGCCACTCTGCCGCTCTGCCACTCTGCCGCTCTGCTCTCTGCCACTCTGCTCTCTGCCACTCTGCTCTCTGCCACTCTGCTCTCTGCCACTCTGACACTCTGACACTCTGCCGCTCTGCTCTCTGCCACTCTGCTCTCTGCCACTCTGCTTTCTGCCACTCTGCCACTCTGCCACTCTGACGCTCTGCCACTCTGCCGCTCTGCCACTCTGCCACTCTGCCACTCTGCCACTCTGCCGCTCTGCCACTCTGCCACTCTGCCACTCTGCTCTCTGCCACTCTGCCACTCTGACGCTCTGCCACTCTCCCACTCTGCCACTCTGACGCTCTGCCACACTGCCACTCTGCCGCTCTGCCACTCTGCCACTCTGCTCTCTGCCACTCTGCCACTCTGCCACTCTGCCCTCTGCCACTCTGCTCTCTGCCGCTCTGCTCTCTGCCACTCTGCTCTCTGCCACTCTGCTCTCTGCCACTCTGCTTTCTGCCACTCTGCTCTCTGCCACTCTGCTCTCTGCCACTCTGCCGCTCTGCTCTTTGCCACTCTGCTCTCTGCCACTCTGCTCTCTGCCACTCTGCCGCTCTGACACTCTGACACTCTGACACTCTGACACTCTGCCACTCTGCTTTCTGCCACTCTGCTCTCTGCCACTCTGCCGCTCTGACACTCTGCCGCTCTGACACTCTGACACTCTGACACTCTGACACTCTGCCACTCTGCCACTCTGCTCTCTGCCACTCTGCCACTCTGCCACTCTGCCGCTCTGACACTCTGCTCTCTGCCGCTCTGCTCTCTGCCGCTCTGCCGCTCTGACACTCTGCCACTCTGCCGCTCTGACACTCTGCTCTCTGCCACTCTGCTCTCTGCCACTCTGCTCTCTGCCACTCTGCTCTCTGCCACTCTGCCACTCTGCCGCTCTGACACTCTGACACTCTGCTCTCTGCCATTCTGCCACTCTGCTCTCTGCCACTCTGCCACTCTGCTCTCTGCCACTCTGCTCTCTGCCACTCTGCCACTCTGCCACTCTGCTCTCTGCCACTCTGCTCTCTGCCACTCTGCCACTCTGCCTCTCTGCCACTCTGCCACTCTGCTCTCTGCCACTCTGCCACTCTGCTCTCTGCCACTCTGCTCTCTGCCACTCTGCTCTCTGCCACTCTGCCACTCGGCCGCTCTGCTCTTTGCCACTCTGCTCTCTGCCACTCTGCCGCTCTGACACTCTGACACTCTGCTCTCTGCCACTCTGCTCTTTGCCACTCTGTCACTCTGCTCTTTGCCACTCTGCCACTCTGCTCTTTGCCACTCTGCCGCTCTGCCACTCTGCTCTCTGCCACTCTGCCGCTCTGCCACTCTGCCACTCTGCTCTCTGCCACTCTGCTCTCTGCCACTCTGCCGCTCTGCCACTCTGCCACTCTGCTCTCTGCCACTCTGCTCTCTGCCACTCTGCCGCTCTGCCACTCTGCCACTCTGCTCTCTGCCACTCTGCTCTCTGCCACTCTGCTCTCTGCCACTCTGCCACTCTGCCACTCTGCTCTCTGCCACTCTGCTCTCTGCCACTCTGCTCTCTGCCACTCTGCCACTCTGCTCTCTGCCACTCTGCTCTCTGCCACTCTGCTCTTTGCTCTCTGCCACTCTGCTTTCTGCCACTCTGCCACTCTGCCACTCTGCTCTCTGACACTCTGCCGCTCTGCCACTCTGCCACTCTGCCACTCTGCTCTCTGCCACTCTGCCACTCTGCCCTCTGCCACTCTGCTCTCTTCCGCTCTGCTCTCTGCCACTCTGCTCTCTGCCGCTCTGCTCTCTGCCACTCTGCTCTCTGCCACTCTGCTCTCTGCCACTCTGCCACTCTGCCGCTCTGCTCTTTGCCACTCTGCTCTCTGCCACTCTGCCGCTCTGACACTCTGACACTCTGCTCTCTGCCACTCTGCTCTCTGCCACTCTGCCACTCTGCCACTCTGCTCTCTGCCACTCTGCTCTCTGCCACCCTGCCGCTCTGCCGCTCTGCCACTCTGCCACTCTGCCGCTCTGCCACTCTGCCACTCTGCCGCTCTCCCGCTCTGCCGCTCTGCCGCTCTGCCACTCTGCCACTCTGCCACTCTGCTCTCTGCCACTCTGCCACTCTGCCGCTCTGCTCTCTGCCGCTCTGCCACTCTGCCACTCTGCTCTCTGCCACTCTGCCACTCTGCTTTCTGCCACTCTGCTCTCTGCCACTCTGCTCTCTGCCACTCTGCTCTCTGCCACTCTGCTCTCTGCCACTCTGCCGCTCTGACACTCTGACACTCTGCCACTCTGCCACTCTGCTCTCTGCCACTCTGACACTCTGCCACTCTGCTCTCTGCCACTCTGCCACTCTGCCACTCTGCTCTCTGCCACTCTGCTTTCTGCCACTCTGCTCTCTGCCACTCTGCCACTCTGCCACTCTGCTCTCTGCCACTCTGCTCTCTGCCACTCTGCTCTTTGCTCTCTGCCACTCTGCTTTCTGCCACTCTGCCACTCTGCCACTCTGCTCTCTGACACTCTGCCGCTCTGCCACTCTGCCACTCTGCCACTCTGCTCTCTGCCACTCTGCCACTCTGCCCTCTGCCACTCTGCTCTCTTCCGCTCTGCTCTCTGCCACTCTGCTCTCTGCCGCTCTGCTCTCTGCCACTCTGCTCTCTGCCACTCTGCTCTCTGCCACTCTGCCACTCTGCCGCTCTGCTCTTTGCCACTCTGCTCTCTGCCACTCTGCCGCTCTGACACTCTGACACTCTGCTCTCTGCCACTCTGCTCTCTGCCACTCTGCCACTCTGCCGCTCTGCCGCTCTGACACTTTGCCACTCTGCCGCTCTGACACTCTGACACTCTGCTTTCTGCCACTCTGCTCTCTGCCACTCTGCTCTCTGCCACCCTGCCGCTCTGCCGCTCTGCCACTCTGCCGCTCTGCCACTCTGCCACTCTGCCGCTCTCCCGCTCTGCCGCTCTGCCGCTCTGCCACTCTGCCACTCTGCCACTCTGCTCTCTGCCACTCTGCCACTCTGCCGCTCTGCTCTCTGCCGCTCTGCCACTCTGCCACTCTGCTCTCTGCCACTCTGCCACTCTGCTTTCTGCCACTCTGCTCTCTGCCACTCTGCTCTCTGCCACTCTGCTCTCTGCCACTCTGCTCTCTGCCACTCTGCCGCTCTGACACTCTGACACTCTGCTCTCTGCCACTCTGCCACTCTGCTCTCTGCCACTCTGCCACTCTGCCACTCTGCCACTCTGCCCTCTGCCACTCTGCTCTCTGCCACTCTGCTCTCTGCCACTCTGCCGCTCTGCTCTCTGCCGCTCTGCTCTCTGCCACTCTGCCACTCTGCTCTCTGCCACTCTGACACTCTGCTCTCTGCCACTCTGCTCTCTGCCACTCTGCCACTCTGCCACTCTGCTCTCTGCCACTCTGCCACTCTGCCTCTCTGCCACTCTGCTCTCTGCCACTCTGCTCTCTGCCACTCTGCCACTCTGCCGCTCTGCCACTCTGCCACTCTGCTCTCTGCCACTCTGCCTCTCTGCCACTCTGCTCTCTGCCACTCTGCCACTCTGCCTCTCTGCCACTCTGCTCTCTGCCACTCTGCTTTCTGCCACTCTGCCACTCTGCCACTCTGCTCTCTGCCACTCTGCCTCTCTGCCACTCTGCTCTCTGCCACTCTGCTCTCTGCCACTCTGCTCTCTGCCACTCTGCCACTCTGCCACTCTGCTCTCTGACACTCTTCCGCTCTCTGACACTGTGCCACTCTGCTCAGGTCACGAACTTCATGGGCATCGAGTGGATGCGGCGCCATCTCTCTCCCACTTATAAGATCCACATCATCTCCTTCAAGGACCCGAACCCCATGCACATCGACGCCACCTTCAACATCATCGGCCCAGGCCTGGTGCTGTCCAACCCAGATCGGCCCTGCCATCAGGTGAGTGTGTGTGTGTGTGTGTGTGTGTGTGTGAGTGTGGTGCTGTCCAACCCAGATCGGCCCTGCCGGCAGGTGAGTGTGTGTGTGTGTGTGTGTGTGTGTGTGTGTGATGGATAGGTTTAGGGGTAGGGTTAGTGTGAGTGTGTGAGTGTGTGTGTGTGTATGTGTGTGGTGCTGTCCAACCCAGATCGGCCCTGCCGGTAGGTGAGTGTGTGTGTGTGTGATGGATAGGTTTAGAGGTAGGGTTAGTGTGTGTGTGTGTGTGTGTGTGTGTGTGTGTGTGTGTGTGTGTGTGTGTGTGTGTGTGTGTGTGTGTGTGTGTGTGTGTGTGTGTGTGTGTGAGAGTGAGTGTGTGTGATGTGTGTGAGTGTGTGTGTGTGGAGCTGTGCTGCCATCTAGTGTTGATCTCATGATAAATCTCTCCCTCAGATCGACATGTTCAAGAAAGCCGGCTGGACGGTGGCGACTCCTCCGACTCCTCTTATTCCTGACAGTGAGTTATAGTTATAGATATAGTTATAGATATAGTTATAGATATAGTTAAAGATATAGTTATAGTGTTCCCGGTTTCATGGGTTTGGTTCAAACTAAACACAGCCTTCCATCATATCAGACCCAATTATCACGTTAAACACAAGCTTAAAGTCTGAATTTTTTTAATGCATGTTATAAATCTTATTGAGATCAAATTATCCATGCATATATTCGTTTTCTAAAAATATTTGGACCCCACAATGTTTCATGATCTTCCAGTGAAGCGTCAGGTTTCTCTCTGGTGAAGTCGAGTCTTCTTTATTTATACAGCGCTCTTTACAGCACAGAGTGTTTCACAGCAGCTTTACAGAGATAACTGGAAAATAATGCAAATGTTGTTTCTAGAAGAAAATAGCGTCACAGTCCAGCTTAAGTAATAAATAATGTCACTCTTTACATTGTCGTCTTCTCTGCGCTGGCTCGGCAGAACTGCGGATCGCACACAGTCTTTACATGACAGTCCAGCACACAGTTATAGGCATCTAAAGATTTATATGCCCTCAGTTTCTCTTTACGCTCGGTTTCTCTATCGGATAGGTGTAGAAGTCAGGCCACTCAACCGGAGGTAGCGTTAATGTTAATCCTGTCAGATCGTCCATCCATTGAAAGCGTGTACAGTACAGGTCGGCCAATCTGGTTCCGTCCGTTAAAATTAACTTTTGCAAATAACAACCGCGGTCCTGGACAGTGAGTGGCCTTGCACATTAAGATAAAATCGGATTTTCTCCAGTCATTGTTAAAAAACAAGCAAACAAAACTTGCAAACTAACATTAGGGAAGCGGGCAGAGGGATCGTTCTGCCTCCACCTAAGCTCCGCCCACAAACAAACGTCACCGTGTTTACTAACTGAAAAGGGGTCTATGGATCTCCCAGTCACGTGACCCCTTGCCACGTGTCAGCCATTTTGACGGAATACATCCGTCAGCTACTCATAGATCCATTGCCGTGGGTAATATAATTATTAGTATAATTAGCCTAAATATTGCAATACTTTGCGCTACAGTATTGATATAATTGCATGCGCAAAATCATGGTGCAAAATATCTCGATACTGAACAGAATCGATTTTTTCCCCCACCACGTCATGTCATCGCACTTAGTATTAGCATCACAAAAATAAATATACAAGAGGAAGATACAACCCAGATAGCACACGTACGTCTGCAAGATGTCTGTTAAAGATCACTTCATCTGGAAAGCATCTGCTGTTTACTAACATCTGATAGACATCTTTAAGATGTCAGTTTAGCATACATTCTAAATCATTACATCTTAAAGATAACTTCTAAACGTCTATTTGACATCTAACAGGAAACACGCACATCAAATAGACGTCTCCGTGATGTACGTGTGCTATCAGGGGGAATTAGGAATCATATATCCCTATGAAGCACCACAAGTTCTTTTTACAGGCATTAAATGTGTAGAAAAACGTCCTGACATTGAGTTCGGTGGCATTACTACCTTATTCACTTCCCATCACGCTACACCGGAGCTTCATTACAAGAAAATTATTTTTCAATCACCGCAAAGGTTGGTCAACGTATTTTTATCACCAAATTATACCTGTAATAATTTTTAAACTGAGTTTACAGGGTAAAACACAAAACAAAATCACCAACACGATTAAGTGTATCTTTAATGAATTTGTTTAATCTAGTTTGATCCAAGAAAAACGAAATAATAGCCTATGTTTATATACTTTTTTATACTTATCACTGACAGTCACTGTATGATAAACTGTCATTGAGACTGTTATCTCAACCTGTATTTCTAATGATTTATAAGAAGTGTCGGTAAGACTTTATAATAACTACACGCTAATAATCATTAGTTAAGCATGAGTAAACAGTTAATTCATCATTCATAAAGCATTAATAGACATTAATAAGCAGTTTATAAATACAGCTATAAATGCTTTCTTCTTGATTTACAAGCATATCCATAATTTATTTAATAATTGTATTTTCATCCTTTATTAATGATCAATTTATTATTTCTAAATGATTAATTGCATTTTTTTATAAACCAGTTATTTAAGAGTTTTCAGTGGTTCATAAGATTACTTAGAACGTGTAAGTAAATGATTAATAAACTATTTAAATGTACATTCATACATCTTATTATTCAGACATATAGTGATGGTTACTTAGTGTGTTAATAAATGCTTTATTAACATGTATTTATGCTGTAATTCAGGGTTAATTCGGGTAGTTATAAAGCATTTAGTAGTGGTCAGTTAACTATGTTTGTGAGCTCATCTAAAGTGAGGACTACTCGTGCCTTGTAAAGCATTTATAAAGGAGATTTAGAGGCTGTTAAATATTTCTATGTTCTGTATCACTGTGTTGTGTTTGTTACATTTTTCTGTTTAGAAGATTGATGCGCCTTTAAATCTCCTTTATAAATGCTTTACAAGGCATGAATAGTCCTCACTTTAGATGAGCTCACAAACATAGTTAACTGACCACTACTAAATGCTTTATAACTACCTGTATTTACTACATTTACTTACACTTTCTAAGTGCTCTTATGAATAACTGACAACTCTTGTTTGTAAATAATGCTGTACTTCATTTAGAAATTATTAATTGATCATTAACAAAGTATGAAAATACAATTATTAAACGCATTATAGATATGCTTATAAATCAAGAAAAAAGGTGTTTATAGCTGAATTTATAAACTGCTTATTAATGTCTATTAATGCTTTATAAATGATGAATTAACTGTTTACTCATGCTTAACAAATTATTAATAGCATGC